CAGAAAACGCATGCAGTCCCAGGACACGACACCAACACGACACCGACACGGGAGCAAGGTGGGAAGAAAGGGGCAGGCAGGCACCGGGAAGGAAGGGAGACAGAGAGAGAGGCGGGTTTAGATCAACTTCCTTCTCCCTCCCCCTCCCCCTCCCCGGAAGTGGGCTGCCCCACCCTCCCCAAGGTGCTTTGCTGGGTAACAGCTGGGAGAGGGTGAGGAGGCTCTGCTCCGGCCAGGGCTGTCATAAAGTCCTTCTCACCCTCTCCCGCAGCAGGTGGGACCTGGGCGGAGCGGGGGGGGCCTCCAACTGGCCGGGAGGAGTATGTGTGAATCAGGCCGGCTGACCCGGAGGAGCAGCCTTGCCAAAGACCAGCCAGCCACCCATGCGACAACAAGAAGGGGGTTAGGCAGAAACCAGCAATCTAACAGTGGCAGACGGACCTCCTGCTTCACAAAAAGCAGTGTTTACCTCCGAAAAATGCACATTCCACTTATACACAAAATATTTTGGATGTAATTTCAGGGAGTTCAGGCACCCTGTGAAGCCCCTTTAGAGGTCGATGGGTTCTAGACTAAAAACCTTTGTCACTGATTGAATAAGACATTGAATTCTAAAACTTGCCCCAAAGATGGGGAACCAATCAAATGTCCCTCTAAGTCCCTTCCAGCCCTGATTCTGGGAGTCCATCCCTAGGTTCCCGCCAGCCTCCGACAAGTCTCCATCACCCCCCCTCCCACCCCAACAACACTGCTTTACGAACTTTGAGGGCCAGGGACAGCAGGGACGCTGGTCTTCACACCTTCCTCCTGCAAAGCTCTCCCGTCTGGGCATCTGCTAACTCGGGGCGACTGGAGCTCTTCCTTGTCTGAGTTCTGCGTTCCGGTCACGCCTTTCTTCTGGCTCTTTTCTTCTGGCTCTACTTCGAATTCATTCCGTATCTCTAGGCTAGGCTCTTTCCCACTAAGCAACTCTTGAAAGATCTCATGCTGGTAGGCCATAAACCCCTCTAGGGAAGGGCAAAGCCTCCTCTGTGCCCTCCCAGCACCTGAGCAGATACCAGGGAGACCATGCCACTCAGCGTTTGCCTTACACAGGAGCCCTGATCAACACATTCGACATTTCTGACACTGTCTTCTGCTGCCACATATTCCCTACGTTCTCCACACCTGTAGGTAGCATCCTCACGTCACAGATGAGAAATTAAAGCACAGAGGTTATGAGACTGGCCCAAGATCCCACAGCCTCCCAGCACAGAGCTGGGACTGGAGCCCAGGGCTTTTGTGCCCAGGTCAGCACTCGGCTGTTCCTCACGGTCCCCTTTGCTGGCTTCCCCCGAAAGAAGATAAGGAAGCGGGGCGGGAGGTGGGGGGTGGGGAAGATGCCTAGGCCAACAGGAACGCCAGGGTCTGGCTCAGGCCAGTGTGTAGGGCTGCTGTGAGGACGTACCCAGGGGGTCCCACGGTCACCCCTCTTCAAAGTGGGCCCTGATCTCAGTGCAAGAGCTTAGGGTTTATTCTGGACCCTGGGCTCAGGCTTGCCTGCAACCACCTGCCCCTTCACTCAGAGGCCAGAACAGGATCAAACGGCTTCATTTTTCCAGTCCCTAGGGTTCTGCAATGTGACAGAAAGGTTGTTTCCTCAATCCTGTTTGTGGGAAGCAGTAAGGGGTTTTGTAAACTGAGGAAGTACCGAGCACTGACCACAGAGATGCTGGGGAGAAATGGGTAGGACTGAGCTGACAAGTCACATGGCCGTGGCAAATGGCTAGTTCTTTAACCCTTCCTCCTTCACTGCATCCAGGAACCCTCTCTGCATCCTTTAATCCTGAGCAACTGTCACTCTCAACTGCCAAGAGTCAAGAAACCCGAGGAGCACTGTGGGTAGGAGAGATCTCATAAGGCTGGGGGAAGCAATGACCAGTGGAAATGTAACCCCCAAAATTAACTGTGATGGCTCCCCCCGGGAGACCCTCACCTTCCCTTAATACAGTGGTGCAGAAGGGAGGTGGAGCTGTGTCAAGAGTGTCAGAGGGCTGCTCCCTCCTTCTAGCTGGGGCAGATGCCCCCTGACAGAGGACACCTGCAGAGCTGGCAACTGAGGCCTGAAGCCCAAAGCAGGTGGGTCACCTCATGCTAGCTTTTCGAGCTGCAAGCCTTACCCCAAGGCAGGGGGACCAGCACTGCAGCCTGGGCCAGGAGGGAAGCAGCCTGCAGGCCTCAAAGCAGCCACGGCAGGAGCCAGCACATGCCTGGGAGGACCAGCAGGCAAGAACTGACCTGGAGTGTGACCAGAATGGAGCCAGCACCTCCAGCTCACTCCCCTGCATGCATGGACGCCACAATACAATGCTCACCCCTCATCTCCTGCCTTCTAAGCCACTTGAAATGCTGGGCTCTTCCTCAAACAGAGTGGATTCTACTGAGCAACCAGAGGTTTACCAGCTTCCAGTACCAAATTTCGTCCCTGAGAATCTGCTCACTGGGGTCTGGTCTCTATCTCAATCCCCAATTACTGTTGCTAATTCAGCAAACCTTTGTTGAGTGCCTACCTCTGGAGGCAGGGCTAGTTGCAAAGTTCAGAAAGATCTGGTTCCTGCCTTCTAGAAACTTAGAAGAGGGAACTGTATATTATATTAGACTCACCACAGTATCTCTGCTTACTGAGTAAGGGAGGCAGGACAGCATGACAGAGCTCCGGAGGCTAATGGGCCTGGGGTGGGAGCCTTGCTTTTGCTCCTTACTAGGTCACTGAGCACGACTAAGATTCCTTGACTTCTCTAGATCTCAGTTTCCTCATTTGGGACATGCGGACACCACCTGTAACAACTTCACAAGATCAGCATGAAGACGAAACGAAAAACGCACGCCAGTGTGGGCCGCACTGCCCCGGGCACGGTGTTTCCTGTGATCTCGCTTCTCTTTCGGATAGGAACCTGCTTCCCATCTCAAGGGGTCCTCTAAGCCCAGAGAAGAGCTATCATCTCTAAGAACTTGACAACAAGCACCAGTGGAGTAAAGCTGGTATTGCTTCTGGAACAGAGAAAAGTCAAATTTCTAGCATGGCTGGGCTGTCAGGCAAAAAGGACCCTCTTTCCTAACTTAAAACCGCTCTTGCCAAGAGGAGCGGGTGAATAAGAAGGCAGCCAGGCCTCTGGCTTCTAAGCAGCCCAGAGGAGGAGGAAGGTGTGTCTGCTTTTCCTCTCCTCGTGGGCCCCTTAACTCCTTCCTCCCAGAAGAGGTCCAAGAAACAGCCGACATACCAGTACCACATGGTGCCAAGGGCTGGGGGAAGCTCACACTGCCAGCCTCACGCTCTATTCGGCGCCGCCCGTACCAGTGGGTTACTGTAACCATGGAGACCAACAAGTTCCTCCATATCACAGGAGAGAGTCAGCCTGCCAGCAGCCCAGGGCTCCGGGGGAGGCAGAAGGCAGCCTGCAGCAGAAAGGTCTGGCTCACTTTACAGAGGACTGTGGGGAGCTGATGGGAGCCTAACCAGTGCAGCTGAGGTGCCTGGGCCTCCCTCTTCCTTCCTTTGTAGTGTATGTTTTTATTCAGCACATTGGCTGGCTGTATACCGTGCAGGAGCAAAGGGCTGGAGTCACAGATCTGCAGTGGGACCCCAGCTCCGCCACTCCGGCTGCTGGGTGGGGAACAGCTCAGAAGTGTGGTATGAAGAGTCACACAGATGCACACGCACTAAAAGCAAGGCTCCAGCTATCATGTAACATCTTCTTTTAAGGGATCCAGGTCAGTAAACACTCTTACCCCTAGTTTATCCCAAATCCTTTTGTTCGAGGCATTATCCAGACATCTTCTTACCAGAGAGTGATCTCTCCCTTCTCTGGATCTCACAGCACCCTGTCTGGACCCGTTCATGTCTTCCGACTGACTCTGTGTCGCCACGCCTTGGCCTCCTCAAGCTCTGAGAGGTCAGAGACGGTGTCTTGCTCACCCTCGTATGCCCTTAGTACCTAACATTTAGTACCTGCACCCAGCTGGCCCATGGTAAAACACTTGAGGAATAAAAACGGTACAAGTTTTTGATCCTTACAGGCACCCCCTCCTGGAAGGAGAGACAAGGGCAGAAGGAAGATCAAAGCCTCTTGCCGCAAGACCCTTTTCTCCTCTTTCAAGACAGTTGTTGGTTCCGTCTGGCCTTCCCCCTAGACAGTGCGGTAGGGAGGGACCCGGGTCTGTCTGATTCATGGCCCACAACAATGCCTCTAGCGCAGAGCAGAAGTCTGCAATCACTACTGAATGAATAAATGTGTACGGAGGAATAGATAAGAAAACGTGCAGGGGCATCTTCATGACGGTCTTTGGGCCCCACGCCAATACCCCGCATCTGTGCCCTCTGCAGGCAACATCCAAGCGGGTAGGAAGCCACAAGATCCCCTCGCCGAAGGACAGGGGGCTCCTATGGAGCGTTAGCTCCACGAACAAACTTCCTCAGGTGGTGAAGAGGCCCTTGGTGCTCTCTTCCAACACAATGCTGGAGGCAAAAGAAGTCACCAAGGTGGACTGGAGACAGACTCAGAACACAGGCACAGTCAGGGATGCGAGGGCTTATGCCCCCACACTCCCGTCCCTGACCCCCTCAAACAAGCCCAAGCCCCCGCCTTTCATCTTGGGGGGGGTCCTCTTCACTGAACTTCCTGATGCCCAACAACCACTGGGCCCTCCCACTTGAGACTGCTTTCTGCCTCTCCACATTCAACCTCACAACTGCTTTGCTATCAAAACCACTGTGTCTTGCTGTGACAATGCAAGGCAGCGCGGGCCATTCTAAGAGCTACTGATTTGGGGGAGTGACAATGACTTGTAGGAGACATTTATGCTTTGCCACACTGAGAGCTCAGCTTTCATATTTCCTCCTTGAACTGATGTAATGACTGTAAGGCCCTATCATCCCTAGAACGCCAACAAAATTCACCCATACACACCTGCCTCCTGTCCTGCTGCACAAATCGGCTTTCCCACCCTGCCCCCCACCCCTCCTCAAGCTGCCTCCTGTTACAGAAAAGCAAAGCAACTAAAAACGGCAGCTGGGGAGCTCAGTTGACTCACCCAGCATAATCATCTCCTCCTAGAATCTCCCATCTTCTCCTGGGGTTTTTGCCAACACAAAGTAAAAAAGAAGCATGAGATCTTTAAAAATAAAAACAACAACAACAACAAAACCCACAAAAAACCTCTCTCAGCATTTATGCAACAGCCTTTCTACCTGAGTGCAGATTTAACCCTTTGTATTTGCCCTTTCCAGCGTGGTTTCCTTAGAACGTCCTCATGCCGAGGAGCAGATCCAGCTCCAGGCTGGGAAACAGGCCTTCTGGGTCCTCTCCAGTTCCAGCTCCACACTGGAAGGTGCTGAATAAGACATGTGCCTCCTTCCACTGCATCCTCCTCTGGAAGTGGAAAAAAAGACTGCCTCCCTAGTCCTCCGGCCTCAAAGCGGGTATTGGAGGAGGAGGAGGAAATATCAGCACACACACGGGGACAGCGCTTGCCGCCCCGGGAGCTGTGGCCAGAGGTCGGAGCTCAAGCAGGGGAATGAGTGAGGGAAACCACCTAAGGTCATCACTGTCCTCTCACCTCAGAGCAGTCCCCACCTGGCCGGGCTGCAACGTGGCCGCCCCACGTATGTGACCATTACAAATCCAACTGGCCACTCCGCATGAGCAAAGCCCCCGTGAGGCTGCTCCTGCTCACAGGCGGAGGTGTCATCTTCCTCCGAGCGGGTGAGTGCACCTGAGTGGTGGCACTGGCTGTTTCCAGTGCCTCCTGACAATGAGTCCAATCGGCTAAAATTGAGAACTTGGCCTCACTCATCCCTTAGAGGGATCGCAGGAGTGAGTGTAGCTCTCAGACAACCTTTCTGGGTGGGAAGTGGTGCCTCTGTGTGTTTCTTTTTGTCTTTGTCATTTGGTACCCAGAAGGACAACTTACTTTTCCTAAGAGATGCTATGACTACAAACTAATGAGAATACTTCCACAAAGCACATGCAAATGTGCTGCGGCACACTGGTCAAGAAATCCCCAACTTACCAGAAGTTCCATCTGGAGAAGAACAAATGGTGGCTGTGTCTTAGACCCGCTCACGAGGGCCCACCATTGTATCTGAAGCAGTACGTTAACCGCACTTAAGATTTAAACCATAGCCCAGAACGGGAAAACTAACTCAAGAGTTCTGCCTTGGGACATGTCTTTGCTCCCCAAGCAGCACGGGCAGCAGTAACTGAGGCTCTGTAACCTTCAAACCCCGGGTGAGGGCCTAAAACAAGGGGACTGGAGCTGGGGGAGGGGGCTTCAAAGCATTTCGGGTGGCCGGGTAGGAGGCAGGGTATGAGGAGAAATGAACCCAAGCAGAAGTGAGGAATGAGGCTGGAGTTTCAAAAGGAATTTTGAGTGGGTACTGCCTTACAGGAAAGAAGGGCTAATTCTGGAAGACCACTCTAGCTCTCTCTCTTCCAGCTAGAGAGAGAAAAGGGAGCCTGGGACAGTCCCCTGATTTATCAGGGGCAAATGCTCCTTAGAATGATCTCCCTGCTCGGCACCTGAAGCCAGGGATGTGCTTCCCATCTACCTCACTGGGCCCACTGTGGCCTCAACCCTGGGCCAAGGACAGAGACTGCAGGACCCTGTTATTAAGTGGCCACGGTCTGGGCAGGTGGCCTTGGCTAGCTGGTCAGATATTTGGAAGAGGGCTCATTCGTCTGAAGTTAGGTGGAGAAGACTGGAAAGTTTCTCAGTGAGACTGTGTGTATGTCAGCTTCTGCTTGTAGGCCTCAGTGTCCCCTAAAGCCAAACACTGCTCATTTTCTGGTGGCAATGGCAGCTCTACTCAGGACGCCCTAGTTGTTCGAGCAGTTCATCTAGGGAGCAGAGAGGATGGTAAATGAGAAGACATTATCCATTAAAAGTGCCTTCTTAACAAGCACTTTCTAATAGTTAATTAATCTTTTCAGAGAAAGTCCTAGGAAGAGTCTGAGCTTTTTTTTTTTTTTTTTAAAGATTTATTTATTTATTTGAGAGAGAGAATGAGCGGGAGGGGCAGAGGGAGAGAGAATCTCAAGCAGGCTCCACACTGAGCGCAGAGCCCAATTCGGGGCTTGATCTCAGGACCCTGAGATCTCAACGTGAGCTGAAACCAACAGCTGGACGCTCAACCAACTTGGCCACCCAGGTGCCCCTGAGAGTCTGAGCTTTCTGACCTCTGATATGAACCTGGGGACAGGGGTCTTCGGTACGGATTAGCTCAGCGCTGGTGGAAGCCCTCTGGAACTAGAACCACCACTTAACAGGTGGTGCTGGGGAAAAAGGGGGCCACTGCTGGGCACTGTTAAATGTACTATTACACAGACTGCAGACAAGAGAATGCTGGTTACTTTGACGGAGACAAGCAGCCAAGTCTCTAGCTCATCACCTCCGAATTCACCTAGAGAGGGCAGGGAAGAAGGGGTGCCTACAGAGGCAAACAGATCCTCCCCAACACATCCCAAAGGGCAGCTCTAATTACCAATAGGCATGGTGGCTTAAATAAAGATCTGAAGACTGAGAGAAAAAAACCCACCCATGATACCTCTGATCAGAGGAATCTAGCTGGGTAGCAGGAGGCCACTGCTACCCATTCTGCTGTTCTATCTAGTCCAAGCAACCACCACAAAGACCCCACAGGCAAAGAAGGGTTCCTACTAAGAGAAAACAAAAGTTATCAAGTCAGAATTTGCCAAATATCAAACCCCGTCCAAAATACTTAGAACAATGCCTGGAACATACTAAATGCTCACGACATGCTGGCTATTATTACTCTAATTCCATATGCTTTCCCAGCTTATTCTGTAGGTTACCAGAACAAGATAAGATTTTTGGCTTTAACTTCTTTACCTAATGCTCACCACAAATGCTCCACAAATGTTCTCTATCTCCAAAAAGAGATGGATCTTTTCGAACCGGCCTGGGAGAGCTCTTGAGATGAAGAGCAAGTTCTGCTCATCTGTTGGCAAGGCCTGGACTTGGACTTGGGTTTCTGGCAGAGCCAGCAAAGGCTCCAGCGGCTCAACTGTTTTATCCCTTCCATAAAAGGCCACTCTACTCTGCTCTGATAAAAAGCACATTAAACCTACACATCCCACCCTAGGAAAATCCAGTACACTGCACAGCTCCCGTGATATACAATGTCAGCAATATTGCTGATACTTTCTAGACATATGGACCTGGAAGCTTACAAATCAGCAGTCGAAATGGGACATGTGACTAGCACTTAGGAAATGGACACACACAACTCACACACAGTGTGGCTAGAGTCCCTGGCGTGTCCTGAAGAGGGCTGCCTCTTCAGTTGTGAGACAGGGAAGCCTGCGTGAGGGGAAGGGGGAAGGGTGAAGGGTGGTGGTGGAAGCTTAGCTGCACTCCCAGCTCTGGGGCGGCTCTGGCTCAGAGACTCAGCAGCCTTCCCCGGCAGCCAGGCTCCCAGCACCAGCTGTCCTTCACACAACACAACAAGATCACTGTTGGGGAAGACGGGATTTTCGGCGTTGGGTTTTGTATCCATGAACTAGCATGCATCTGTCTCAGGGGCAGTTTCCTGAAACAGCTGCATGTCCTGGGCCCCCTGGAGCCAGGATTTGAGATACAGGAGAAGAGAAATGGGACACCAGAAGTAGGAATTCAGGAAGAGTAAAAGCAGGAAGTAATGAAACTGCCTTCTTCTCACCCCTGTCCCATGGGAGCTGACTTTCCCTACCTGGTCCTCACTAAGGAGTCACATACACCCTCACTTACAGCAGTCCCTGCTTATCCGTGGGGGATATTCTCCAGGAACCCACCCTCCCCACTCCGTGGATGCCTGAAGCCACAGACGGTACCAAACCCTAAATACAGCTGACCCTCGAGCAACACAGGTTTGAACTGCGCGAGTCCACTTATACACAGATTTGTTTCCACACAGAACAGTACGGTAAATGAATTTTCTCTTCCTTATGACTTTCTTACTAACAATTTTCTCCAGCTTATTTTAAGAATATAGTATGTAGGGGCGCCTGGGTGGCTCAGCTGGTTGGGCGACTGCCTTCGGCTCAGGTCATGATCCTGGAGTCCTGGGATCAAGTCCCACATGGGGCTCCCTGCTGAGCAAGGAGTCTGCTTCTCCTTCTGACCCTCTCATGCTCTCTCTCTCATTCTCTCTCTCAAATAAATAAATAAAATCTTAAAAAAAAAAGAATATAGTATGTAACGCATATAACATACAAAATATGGGTTAATCAGCTGTTCAAACGATTGGCAAGGTCAACAGTAGGCTACAGGTAGTTAAGTTTGGGGGAGTCAAAAGTTATAGGCGGATTTGCAAGTGTGTGGGGGTCGGTACCTTGAACCCCTACGTTGTTGAAGGGTCAACTATATACTATGTATTTTCCTATAGATACATACCAATGATAAAGTTTAATTTACAAATTAGGTGCAGTAAGAGACTGACAACAAAACTAATAATAAAATGGAACAATTTTAACAGTATACTGTAATAAAAGTTATGTGAATGTGCTCTCTCAAAATATCTTCCCGTACTGTACTCCCCCCTTTCTTGTCAGCAAGTGAGTGACATAGCAGTTAGGCTACTCCTGACCTTCTGACGGTATGTCAGAAAGAGGACCATCTGCTTCTGGCCTGCGGGTGACCACGGGTAACTGAAGCTGCAGAAAGCGAAAACTGGGTAAGGGGGGACCACGGTACCTTCCTTGGCACACCCAGGCTTCCTCCTGGCGTCTCCACCTCTTTACCCTGACAACTCTGCCACGTCAAGTGACCGTGGTATCTAAAGCTGATGCTGGTTACCCCATGAAGAGATAACCAAGGTCATGTGAGCTGGCCTGACACGTTCTGCTGCACTTGTTTATAGGCAAGAGGATTAAAACAACCTGTCAGGGGAGGGAAGGGGGCAAACCCTGTACACAGGGCAAGCACTGGCAACACGGCCCAGAGGCCTCCTGCCAAGAAATCTTTCGCTCAAATATAAAGCAGAAATCTCTCACCAAACCCCAAACCAGCTAACTATGCCAAATACGCTTACGATCCGGTGACCTTGAGGCACTGCTCAATTCTTCCAATGTTCTTTGTATGAAAGGTTAATATTAGGGGTTTTTTTTTGGGAGGGGCGGGATAGAGTAGAGGGACGGGCAGCATAGTACCCCATGAAGAGCCCCAAACTTAATTCATACCCAAGCAAAGCCTTTCTGGCCCACCAAGAAATGTCTGAGGTGTAGGGTTTACACAAAAAGGAAGGTTCCGAGGGGGTCTTTGGATAAAGCAAGCACTCAGTTCGCAGATGCCTACAGGCCCAACCAGAAGTCAAACCATCCAAACAGAACTTCCTACAACCACTTCTTGCCTACTCAAAGTCAGAACTGGGAGGCAAATGAGGAACAGCTCCAGGGCAGAGGGGCTCAGGCAGCAGAGAGTCTGGGGACCTGATGAGGATCAACCTCTCTAACCAGGGGGTCAACTTGACAACGGTAGTACTAGCCACAAGACACAGAAAGGAGAAAGCGAGAGGTGAGCACCTGAGCCTGTGGCTCCAGGCAGCCTAAACTCCTGATAGCAATGTGGCAGAGAAGCTGGTCCCTGGCTCTGCAAAATGAGATTCTCTCTCCCATGCTCCTCTGCAAAGCCATTTGTCACAGCCCCTAAATAACCAATCCTCCCCTCTCAGCAAGCTTGGGCTACTCTGGTCTGGTCTCTGCCTCAGGCACTTGAGCCTTAGCAGCAGGGTGTTTCCATTTGGGTGTTCCCTTGGCTGGCTGGAGAGGTGGGCAGAAGAGGGCTAAGGTGGGCCCCCTTGTCTGGCCACCCAGAGGGGAAAAGTGAAACACCTGCTGGCAACCTGCGCTCCCTCCCCCAATTTCCCCTTCTAGCAAAGGGGAGCAGCTACCACTTTCCTAACCCTTTACTCACAGTTTAGGCTGAGGCCAGGGAAGATGCACCCCTACTACGAAAACGGAAGGTAGCAGTCTGGCTTAGGAACTAAGAAACCTGGCTTAGGGAAAAGAGGGGTATTGTGCTACAAGGGATTCCAAGAATAACCTCCCCAAACCATCCACCAAGCTCTTCTTAAGAGCAGGGGTGTTTAGAAGCGCTTTCCATTTCCCCATGCAACACAGAAGAGGGTGGCCTTGGGCAGACACACACCTGGCTGGGTCACCATCTCCTCTAAGGAGCCCTGGTCTCCCTAACACCAAGTGAGTCCACACCTGCCACAGAGAACCAGCCCGATATGGTTAACGTGCTCTGGAGTTCACATACTCACTCGTGCATTAATCTTCCTCCAGACAGCTGCTGTCATGCAGGGCAGTGAGGCGGGCTGACTCCCCGCTTGGAGCCTCTGAGCCGGTCACTCCAGTTTGCTTGGTAGTTTTGGGGGTGGGACGGGGGAGGAGGGGGAGGACGGAGGGGGGGGGAGGAGGAGGAGGAGGAGGAGGAAGGGAGATTATGATTCTCTATTTTCAAGCCCCGCCCCTAAAACCAGGGAGGGAAGCAGCTGAGTTCCCGCGGTGGCGGGCGTGCTCCAATCTCTGGGCACTACAGAGCCAACCAGCTGCATAAGGAACTCTGGGGAACGTGCACATCAAACACACTGGGAAAAGGAGGGGAAACCAACACGGGTAGAAGTGAGCTGGTCTCCTGCCAAGAACTCTGAATGGTATTCCTATCAGAACTAGAACATAACAGGAGGTGGGCAGGTTTATGGTCCCTGGGGAAAGGCAGGAGGGGAAACAGTAAAAGCCAGGCCAGCATGGGAACAAAACTCACTCCCTGGCAGGAGATGGGACAGCCCAGCCATCTGCAGGGCAGCATCTATATGCGGTCAGAAGCGAAACACTGTCCCATGACGCCCTTCTGGGGCAGACAGTCCATGCTCTAACCTTAGGTCAATTCACACGCTTTGCCAGCTGCGCCCTGAACCCTGCAGTTTGGAGCACGGTCATTTCTCCAACCTTGTAAGTTAAGGTCTGCCACTCGCGGCTGAGGACAGGCCGGAAGGGGGACTCTCACTGGCTGGCTAGTGCAAGCTACTCCGTGACCAAGGGCAGAACAGAAGCCACAGATGATGGCCCCTCCCAGGGGGAGGAGAGAGCTCCTCCTTTGCCAGAGCAGAGCCCAAGGCTGCCACAGAGAGGTGCTGTTTAGCGACAGAAATGTCTGTCCGGAGTGTCAGGAGGGACAGCCACCAGGTACTTCCTCCTATTTCTCACCAAATGCTACCGCCGGCCTCCACAGGCTGCCTTTGGAAAAGCCGGTAAGAACCTCGGGCGGCAGCCAAGGCCTCCGAGTCCCTCCCCCATGAGAAGAGGGAAATCGGGCCGCCTCCTGGGCCTGAAGCAGCTCCCCGGCGTGCTCAGCCAGCCTGCTCCAGAGCTAAAGCCGGAGTCGCCCCACGACTGTGGCCTCAGCTTCCTCTCCACCCAAACCAGCACGTAAAAAACCCATCCAGTCCCTCACTCTACAACATGGGGTGGGGGGCACCAACAGTCATGTCAGCGGGGCACTCGGCACTGGCAACAGGAAGTGACGGCTTCATAGTCAGAGTGCGCCTCCCCCACACAGACCTCATTTATATATATCTATCTGTGCGCACGTGTGTGTGTGTGTGTAAATGTCTATGTATGTATATATACGTACACACGTAAAATGGATTTTCAGTCCAGACCCACATGGCTTCTGGATTTTTCCTTCAGCTGCATAATGAGCTGGCTGGCTCCCTTTCCCTGCCTGCAGCTCCAGCCTGGCCCTTGTCCCTTCCTAGAGTCTCACTCTGGGCTCCAGCCAACTTCAAATGTAGAATGTTCTCTCAGACCTCCAGGCCTCTGCTACAGCCTCCCACTGCCTGGAACACTTCCCCTCCATTATCCACTCCCATTCGTCCTGATTAGCCTCTGCTCGGACATCGTTTCCAGGAAGCTTTCCCTGCTCCATCCCTCTGATTTCACAAGGTCCCTGACACACACCACTTCAAGCCTCTTCTACAAGGACTTCGTGGCTTGCTGAAGGGCCTACTCCACAACTCCTGGTGGCTGCCTTGTTCACCGTTACACAAGACTGAGAGCAGCCTGAGGGAAATTTCCAGGACTTAGGTCATCTCTGCGTCCCCAGTGCCTAGTACAGGACCCGGCACCTAACAGGCTCTCCATAAATGCCTTCCTAATTCATGAGGGAAAGTCAGGGTCAGGGTCTTCCTGCTTTTCCCGGAGTCTCCTCACCTGATAGCTCTCAGCACAACTCTGCCCCATGTGAGCCCTCCAACCTGGGTCAGGACTAGAATGCTTTCAATCCATTCCCCAAGGCCTCCTGACACCTCTATGGACGGAGTGTCTGGCAGGATCTCAGAACTCATCTCTGGTGTGTGGAGTGGGGCCTGCTGCCCTTCCACTTGTCCTTTCCCAGTCTCCCTTCTGCCATAAGGTCTGCAGGTCAGCCCCTACGCAGTCCCTCCAAGCAGCAGGGCTGCCTCTGAAGTGGAAGCAATGGGGGTATAGTGCCAAGGTCCCCGAGAGAGAGTGATTCTAGACCCGGTCCCATTCAAATAAGTTACATGACCTTGAGCAAGTCATTCACCCTCTTGGGCCCTGTGTCTCCCTACCTGTAAAATGAAGGTCTGTCCTGTGTGGGCATGAGGGTTTTCAGTGCCTCTGTCCTCATAAGCCTTCCAGCCCTGTCCCTGAGACGGTAGCAGGAAGTGGGCATGGTCTGCACATCCTGAAGACCACATCCTGACCTTGGTTTACTTTGGGTCAACCTGCCTAAAAGTCTGGTTCCATATGTAATATGCCTTGGACACCAGGCTCACACACTAGAAAATCTCCTCTGCGTATGGCTGAAAAAGTTAAAGTTAACTCAGGCGACTACCCCAGACTTAGAAACATTACAACCCTGAACTCAGGGTGCCCTAGGGAAGGATCTTCTCCTTCCCTAGACTTCATTTACCCACAATTTATAAGCTCCTCAACCCTCCCAGCCTCTCTGCCTAGCATGAGAGTGGCTCCAAGGCACAAGGGAAAGGCACCGGGACACAGAGTCTATTCCCAGCAGGCCCCGGGGCTCTGCACACTGAGAGTGAGCCATGCTGAGGAGATGCAGCCCCGGCAGAGTTCTGTGGCACACCTAGCACCTAGCCCCACCCGCAGCAGGATTCCCCAGCAGCCTGGCTCCTCGGAGAGCTCCTGGGTGGGGAGCTGCCCACCTGACCGCCCTGGACAGGTGACCCACGAGGAGAGACTGGTTTGGCAGAACCCCAAGCAGCAGTTTCAGTCTCCCTGCCCCATGTAAGGGGGTGGGGGGCGGGTCCCAGCAGACCAGTCCAACAGGTCCTGTTGCCACCACCCTACACAGCTAGTGCCTTCTGCGCCAGTTCAAAAGCAAGAGAATCAAAAGTCAGGTGGAGCTTTCATACCCTGACACAAAGACCAGGGAATTAAGAAGAAAGGAGAAAATGGTCATCCTCTCATTCTTGCCCTACCCACAATGGTCCTGGAAGACATGGTCTCAGATCTCATAGTTCTTGGGTCAATTCAGAAAAGCAACTGATCTCCCCCCGAGATGCTCAAAGAAAAATCTGGGTTCTCGTCATCACCAGGCACTGAGATGGTGTGAAATTAGTTCTTCCTGTGCCATGCTCCTGAGCTTTTCTCCCACTATAAATAACTCCAGCTTTCTGATACAGACCACATGATCTCTCTAACTCTGGACAAGATCCCCAACACTCAGTGTACCTCTGTTCACCCATCCAAAAGAGAGAAGGATGAGGCCAACTAAACCAGAAGCAACAATGTAGCCAGAGATGCTGTGTGTCAGAGGCAAGAACAGAATTCAGCAAAACCAGGAGGGCTTGCTTCCTGGCCCTGGTCCCTACCTTCAGGAAGCCAGATAGGGCTCCCTCAGCCTCGTGTTCTCCCTGTATGGTTTCCTCTCTGGGTTCTTAACACAACCCAGTAACAGCGTTAACCTTTCTCCTTATCCTCTCATCCTGAAAAAGTTGTCTCTTTCGTCATTATTACACTTACTAAGACATAAAGTAAGACTTGTATGTCCAAAAACTGGAGAGAGAGGTGTCTGATTTACAAATCCATATGGACACACTCCCTTAAGGGTGGCTGTAAGTAAAGAATGCCTATTTTAGAATTTTTCTGACTTTTAATTTCACAAATAATTGAGAGATGACCATGCACAAAGTCTCCAAACGACTCTCAGGGAGGAAGGGATACAGAAAAAGATAAAAAAAGCCCAGACTTCCAAAGAGCTGATTATCTAGTAGGAGAGATAAATAAGCACAAATCACACAGTCCAATGCAGGACCAAATCCAGGAACCAAAGTTAACAGTCCACCTATTCCCCCCAATTTACTAGAAGTCTATGGCTTTTGTTCTTTTTCAGAAGAACCATGGGCGAAGAGATCTGAAGATCGCAGGTCTCGCTTCTAGTTAGGACCACGAGTTCTGCCAGGATCTATCTAAACCCTGGGGCTTCAGTGAATGGGGATGCCCACCCATGGAGTCAACCACGGTGAGTCGTGGATGCTGGCATAAGAGGAAGCCAACCCAGGGAGACTCACTGAAGAGTCAATCATTTAGCCTTCCTGGTCTCCTCCCCATCTGGAGACTAGGGACAGGCCTAACAGACAAGCAAGGATGATAAGGGAAGAGCTTAAACACAAAGTCAAAAAAGTTGCTCAGGACTCAGGTCATGGACATGAAGTCAGAATAAACCCCTAGCAAGAGAACAAAAGAGGGTGCTCTTGGGGAAGTCTGCAAGGGATTCCTAAAGCTCTGCATCTAGAACCCCCATCACAGGGCTGTGAAGAGGGAGGCACATTTATATATTTTTCCTTTTATTTCTCAGTTGTTGGTTGTCAAGCCTGATCTCCCCCCTTAACTCCCACTCAATCAGTACCAGAGCTCCACACTGATCCCGGTTTTTAAACAGGACCCTCACCTATCGGGCTACCAGCAGTGGCAGAGCTCTTCCGGAAGGTAGTAGGTAGGAACAAATACTCCTGAAAGTACCTGGAAAGAAATAAAATTCCCTAGACAAAAAGAGAAGATTCTGTGCCATTAGGAAAAACAAAAGTCAGTCATTTCAGGGCCTGCGGATAAAGATCAAGGCCCAAGTCCTCCTCCTCCATTGTGGAGGAAAACAATTCTGAAGCCAGTTCTAACGTAAAAATGGGAAAAGCTGGTAAGAGGCTTGGTCCAAATCACCTCAAAAGAAAATCACTCCTGAAATTAAAAAAAAAAGGAAGGAAAGAAAGAAAGAAAAAAATAGGAGAGGGGGAATGGGAATTGGGTTTGTTAAAAACCTTTCCAGTAGATAGCAGATTAGCTACACAAGACCCTTCCGGAACAGTTTACCGTGAAGAATGTTCTAATGTGCGCATTCTGGAGGTGCAGCCAGGAGCTCAGCACCTACACACGTATTACTGAGAAAATCCTCACACCACAATCATGACTACGGTGTGCCGTCAGTGTCTGACATTTGTCACCGGGGTGGGTTAACAGCGCAGGTTTGGCAGCCTGCCCTGGCGGCTGTTTCACAAGCAGTTTCTGTGGTTTCAAGAAAGGCAGGGTGTTTGCTTTTAAACACTATCTTAAAAATATATTTTAGAATAGAGTTCAACCATTCCAAGATAGGAGGGAATGAAGAGCAAACCAAATAAAGGAATCTGGTTCTACCAAACACAGAGGGAGCACACAGCGGGGCAGGGGAGGGAAAGACATATTCACCACGTGCACCAGAATGGCAAGGAAAGCCGACGCCACCAAGCTAGAAAATAAGGACACAGAAATGGGGGCACTAAAGACAGGAGATTAATCCCTACTCAGCTCTTCAGCTCTCCAAAATAAACTTACCTGGCTCAAATCTATTTGTTTCTTTAAAAACGAAATGAAATACAACCACCCCAACAGTTCCGCATCAACGCAAAGGACTGTCATCTAATCAATTAGCAGCCACACCTCTCTGCCAGTGTGATGTGGTAATTAAGGTAGAGATCCTTCTCCCTGGGAATACAAGTACAGAAGGGCCGAGCCCCTATGGGCCTAACCCATTATGGCAGCCTTTTTATTAGCAAGAAAACACTGCCATGCACTCTCCAAGGAAGCGGTGGCCTGCAAAACCAAAGAACACCTGTGTGTGAACAGCGGCTACCTCCGCTAAGAGAGAAAAATGTGCTGGAGGTGGGTGTGGGGAGGCGAGAGCACTCGTAAGGAGGCCCACAGTCTGTGCTTCTCCAGGTAACTTACATGGACCTTGGTTTCACCCCCGGAACAAAAAGATGGGTTCTACGGTAATTCAGAAATGGCACATAACCGTGATCTTGGAGGAGCGAATCAGGTTTGAACACAAGGACAACTCTTCTAGCCGGACTCCCTCTTTCTCTGCAAGGGCAACAAGAGGGGCACAGGTGGGTAAATGAGGCTTGAATTAAGGGCAGCAGTTCACCACTTTAATTCCATGCTGGCATCTTAAAATAGCCTTACAATTTCAGAACTTTGCTAATAAAACTCAAAATGCCTAACAGGATAAAAGAAAAGGCACTATTGCCCAGGTGAGATAAGCAAGTAAACCAAACCATAAACTCCTAAACTCAAGTTAATTAAAATCCCACAGAGGGGCCCAGAACAATGACTCTAAGACACAAGTGCAGAGGTCTGGGAGAACCACAAGCAGAGCTATGGGGACTAACTTCAGGAGAGAGCAGGGAACCAAAAGAAAGACCGAACAAAAAGGAAGTAGTGGCACATAAAACAAGCAACGGGATAAAGAGGCGCAGCAGGACGGCCAGAGCTCAGCTCCCAGGACTGAACTGGCAAGTCCCAAATGCACACAGCGGCCTGGCACTACCAGCTACAGTGCTCAGTGCCCTTGGCAGACAAGGCTAAAGGCAAGTTGCTCTGGGTCTCCGTGTAAGTGGCACGTAAAGCGTTGTAAAGGGAGAACGTTATTTTTGTGATAAAATGTACACAGTTAAGATCCACACACGAGTTTTTTTTTTTCCTTTTTGGGGGGACTGGGGGCATGGGGGAGTGCCTACAAAAAGAGTTCTAGAATTCCAGCAACTCATGGGTGCTACAGAGCAGGACAGTCAAATCTAGGAATCTAAGCTGTCCCATGCTATGAGGTATTTACTTGTTGGTTACCAATTTTAGGTCTCAGGACTCCAGCTTTTCTGAAACAGTCCTTGAAATTCCAGAAGATGAGAAGACACAGAAAGGACAATCAGAAGCCAGGATTAAATAATAAAGTTTAAAAAGAAGTTTCCCATAGCGCTTACATGGAGCAGTCAAGACCAGGGAGGGAAGCCCAGAGAGCCGCATCTCACCCTGGGGCCACAAAGGGAGAAGCAATCTGGGGCAGAAGAGGCCATGCACCACTCTGAAGGCAACCTGGGAGGCAGGTTTTACCCCACACTGACTAGGAGTCAATCCTCGGGGATGTCTCTACCTCCTACTGCGCGGACACAACTGAAACAGAACCACAGTCAAGAAAGTTCTGTTCTTTTTTTTTTTTTTTAAAGATTTTATTTGACAGAGAGATAGCAAGAGCAGGAACACAAGCAGGGGGAGTGGGAGAGGGAGAAGCAGGCTTCCTGCTGAACAGGGAGCCTGACATGGGGCTCCATGGCGGGACCCTGGGATCATGACCCGAGCCGAAGGCAGATGCTTAACGACTGAGCCACCCAGGCGCCCAAGAAAGTTCTGTTCTGACACCGACACACACCGGACCGCTCGGTTTTGTAACCTTGAACAAGTTACTCAGCATTTCTGGACCTCTTGTTTCCTCATCTGTAAAATAGTTAAGACCTACCATCTCACAAAGATTAAATGGGTTAATCAATGTAAGACAGCTAAACAAGTGTCTGGGACAAACTAAGTGTTCAATACATGTTGGCTATTATGATGTCCATAGCTAAAGCCAGTGGCCTCAGTGCAAACCATGCCCTGTGAGTGAGAATGGGCAGGGGTGGTCGACGCTTCAGGTACTCAGTCCGTTCCCTTTTAGAGTTCCCCAACCACTTGGAAAAGTAATGTACTAGAGGGCCATCCAGGAGGCACCGTTACTGAGTCATCGCGTTAGCTAATAGAATGAACAAATCTCCTTTGAAAGCAAAAGTCTATCTTCCATACAGAACAGCGGCCGAAGAGAGAGAGAAAAGCACATCAAGTTCAATTCTGGAATTGAAATGAAAGCCACATGTGAATCTGAAAAGAAATAAGCTTTGTGTAAAAAGCAGAGGATTATGGGGCTGCTGAGTGATGGGAAATGGAGCTATAATCCTGCAAGTCTATACGTAGACTCAAAT